TAAGGATTGTATGTTTTCTTTCTATTCGATTGACTACAAAAGAATTAAAAGATGTGTTATCGATAACTTCCGTCATTTTGTTTCATTGCGCTGTTACGATATAATAGTTAATAGGTTTCAATCAGCCAAAACATTTTAGTTACATCGATAAAATACTTCAGTAAGGACTAAGGATAGAACTTAAGTATTTTGGAATTCAAAGCCGGCAGTCACTTATTTATTATATAATAGTTTGTTTTGCAAACTAAGCTATTTAATGTTATCTGTTTATAAGTATATAATAATATATTATAATTTCATACAATTTAAAGATTTTTAACATTAATATGGATAGTTAACTTCCCTCGAAAGACTCAGCTTCAACTGTTATTATTGATGTTTACATATTATTAATCTAGCCACACTCTTCAAACATACTTTCTCTGTTGCTCTCTCTTAACTTTTAAATAAGCTTTCAAATGTTATCTGGTCATAATTAGTTAATAATATATGTATTTTAATATCTTATGTTGAGGTTTTTCCGAGTTACTACAACTAGTCACTTTTACTCTTTCTTAGCAGGGAAGTTTCTACAGAGTCCCTCCCTTCTGTTTGACTAATTTATATATTCGTCACAAGCTTCGCTGATTATTCGCTAATTGAACTAAGATCTACATACCGCCCAGTACGACTAGTTACTGATCTGAAATTTGATAGTGCTATGTTGTTCAGCATGTCATTTTTCGCGTATAGCTTCAGCGCTCTATCCCTTATATATTTATTGATCGGATCTATTCTGAGATGTCTTAGCATGTCAGACATGTGAATGTACCATGGCACTTTGAAAAGTCTTCAGAGAGCCTGACTTTGAGTAACTTGTAGCTTATGAATTTTAATGTCATTCTCTTTTAAACTTCTCTTTAAAACTAGTAAATTAATGAATTAATAGTTAACTTCGCTTGAAAGACTCAGTTTCAAGTAATATTACTGATGTGTACAAATTACTGATCTTGCAACACATTTCACTCTCTCTCTCTCTCGGTCTCTTTTTGCTCTGTCTCTTACTTTCTGCCTGTCTCTTGATTTTTGATTAACTTTCCAATGTTTTCTATTTAAATTATTTCATAATATATATTACTTTTATATTATTTTAATCTTTACAAAAATAATTAATTAATAATTACTAATCTTTCTTCTAATACCTCATCTTCAACTGAGTCTCACTCTCTGCTATCTCTCTCTCTCTCTCTTCCCGTTTTTCAATTTTTATATGCTAATGGGGCATAGTGGTATGCTTTGAGTATAGTCATTTACACTTCACGGAAACTTCCCACAATAATTTCAGAAATTGCGCTACTCAATGTCTGACAACTAAACAATTAACAATAATAACAAAGGAACAACAACAACAAAACAACTGCAAAAAGAAGAAGAAGAATAAGGAAAAGTAAATGAATAACAATAACAAAAAAACACAATACAAAATGGGAATGGCACATTATTTTCATCACGCGATGCAATTTACTTTGCAACTTTAATTCATTTTCATGTTGTGTCGACACGATTTCCCTGATTTTCTATTACCAAAAAAAAAGCAAAAACCAGAAACCAAAAGTAAAAACAAAAAACAAACAATTTTTTGCTATATTTATTTTTGCTAGTGTTCTGGTTATAAATTGTTTTTTCTTTTGATTCCTTTTTTTGTTTTGATATTGCATGCTATTTTGCGGCTCACTGAGTTTGCGTTTACGTTTGCAGTAGCAGTTATAACAACAGCAACAACAACAATAATAATAACAACAACAACACCAGGGCAACAGCGGCTTTCGATAAAAAAGCAAGAACAACAACTATAATTTGTACTGTTTTTTTTATTTATGACTAAAAATAAAAGCTAAATTTATAAAATTGCAAAATTTTTTGTTTTTGTGGTTTTTTATTAATGTATCGTAGTTGTTGTTGTTGTTGTTTTGAGCCCATTTTGTTTGATTTTGTCGCATTGCTTAATGCAAACTCTCTGCGCTTTCATTACACATACACACACATATATATACTAACTCACTCACTCATACGTCGCAAACGTTTCACATACAATTGTATGTTTGCATTGACATGCAATGCTGCTGCTATTTTAGTTGCTGTTACTCTTCTTCTTCTTCTCATGTAAAATGCTCATTCTCTGATTTAATTTTGTTGCTTGTTTTCTTCTTATTTGATTTGTTGTTGTTGTTGTGCTGCGGCAAATTTTAAAGTGAAAATTATTCATTTTTCTAAGGTTCAGTCTCTGAGTTGAAGGTCAGTTGATATTTTATGTCATTCAACTTGCCTTCCTCTGCTTCTTCTTTTTCTTCGCTTGCTTTTTTCAATACTGTTGTGTAGTATGTAGTGTTCGTCGTCGTCGTAGTCGTCGTCTCGGTCTCCACTGTTGTGGTCGTCGTTATTATAGCCGTCGTCATTATCGTTTTCTTTCTATTTACATATAAAAGTTGTCTATCTCATTTATGCATTTCACATACCTACATATGCTTACATGCAAATGCAAACTAAGTCAAACATTTAATGGCGTACAAACACTTATAGGCTTCCACATATCTACGTCGGCCCGTTTCGTTGACACTCAGTTGCTCTTTTGACCATTTGTTACGTTGTTACGTTGCTCTGCTGTTCTGTTGCTCTGTTGTTTCTTCATATGACGTTATCGGCGCATGCAATTGCCATTTTGTATTCATAAATGTGAAACGCAAATTTATAAGCAATAAAATTATTTATTTAAATAAAAAACAAAAAAGCAAAAGTAAAAATAAAAATAAAAACAATACATTTTGTTAATGTAAGCAAAATTAAATCAGGAAAATAAGATTTTGTTTGAATTGTTTTTTTTTCTTTTGTTTTTTTTTTGTTATTTCAATATCAGTCAAATAATTTACATTTATTTGTGCATTCCAATGTTCTGTTGGCAATTTTAATTTTTTTTATTGAATTTTTAATGCGATATTTTCATATTAAATTATTTGGTATTTAGTATTGAGGCGTTAAGTGTCCGATAACGAAATAAACGAACAGATACAGATTGGCGCTTTTAGACGCAATGGCGGCGGTAATAACATTGAAACTGAAATCTCTGATGCGCTTTTGTTTTTGTAGTCGTTATATATGATGTACGTATTTTTGTGAAATACAATAGATAAGATATATTTGTTCTTTTTAGAGCAGCATTTTGCTCTTTTTGGAGTAGCAAAATATCGCAATAAATCCCTTTATATATTTAATATTAAATTGAATTTGTTTTACAAAATTAAGCAAATTTGAGAAAAATTTGAATTCTATGCTTAGGAGACCACACCATACTTGAGTAATTCTTCAAGATTAACGTTGGTACTCATATTTCGATACTCTGCCACACTTGATGAATTCTGCAGATTGAAAATGTGTAGTCATGAACTCTACTTGCTTATGTATGTATGTGTAGAAAAGTAATAGAAACATTTTGAGAAGTACTTGAAACTTTATTTTAGTACTCGCAAATTATGTATTAATTTCTTACTTTCGCGCTTTGCTGTTCCATTCTGTCATTAAGCATAATATGTATATGTAATATACATATATGTAATTCATATATATGTTTATGTTAAATACAAAATATAAAAAAATGACAAAAATATATTGTGTATATACGTATAACAGTGTCAACAAAGCCTTTGTAAAATTTCAATCATCTCAGGGCTGTCTGAAGCGCTGTCCCTGGCCACATGCGGCCCGCGACATGTTTTTAATCTACTACAATTACGCAATCGCATCTGGCCTGGACGGCCCTGATTTAAATACAGTAAGTTTTGTGAAAACTGTTATAAAAGGTAATTTTAATCTTTCATCTTACTCTAGTGTGGCATGGGCCATATATAATATATTTCTAATATAATCAGATTAGATTGTTACCAAAAGTTTAGACCTTATTTATTACATGTTATATATGTAGATCATACATTTATAAAAGCAGCGACTTTTGATCTCACTACCACCAATTTGGTAGTGATGAAATTTACAGAGATCTTCCATATAATGAAATCTCAATGATTGATTTTTTTTAAGTGGAAATTTAAATAATGTTGTCCATAATGTTGTCACTGTCATTCTGATACTTAGTACGAACGATATGAGTCGTAAGTCACCTTGTCCAACTTTCAAATCTTATATTCCAGTATAATAATAGAATATAAACTTTAAAAGACTTCATTTCTATCCACTTTAACGAAACACTATTAACAATTAATAATTCACTTTAAATAATTACTTATGCTGTTAACTCTACACGATAAAACCACATTCCATACAAATTTACAAATATATTCCCTAGTACACACAGTTGTGTCTTAATTAATCCACATTGTTATTAAAAGAGGATGACGAAATTTTTGTTAGATATTAGATTTTTATTGCTCTTAATATTCAGGCAAATCAATTGAAATCGTGTGAGTACTAAATATCTTCGTATTGACTTCATAAATACAGAATCAATTATACATATATATTAATATAAAATCTTTTCATGAAATAAAATATATAATTACCTTCAGATTTATAATGAAACTAAAGTGAGTTTGTTGTAAAATGATTTATTTTTGATGTCCTAAACTTTTGAAAAAATATATTATACTATTGTGTGTAGCGTCTATAACAAATTTTTAACCAACGAACCACTGGCTTTTGCATGCAAAATATAAAATCGCAAACCATCACAGATTATAAAATGGATCCATTGATATATTAAAGTTCTCTCCTATCCCCAATATTACTGACTTAAGTACGTCAAACGAACACAATTCATTAAAAACGTATAAAAAAACGATGGTCCGAAAATATTAGAGGCCATTTTAACTGTCTGTAACCAGTCTTTAACTGAACCGACTATTACTAAACTTTTATGCTCTGTTCCAGAATGTCACGAAACTTTCATCACCGCTTCTAGGGCTGTTGTGGATATAGAAATGATTATCATTCACAAAAATTACCTTTCTAAATACCTTTATCCGATATAGTACTACTAAAGTAAGACTCACGTTACAAGCTACTCCATATTATCTTCCATTAGTGCTTCTAGGCCTACTGTTGATATGAAAATGATTATCTCTCATAAAAATTATCTTGTCAAATACCTTCATCCGATATAGTACTACTAAAGTAAGACTCACATTACAAGCTACTCCATATTATCTTACATTAATGCTTCTAGGCCTACTGTTGATATGAAAATGATTATCTCTCAAAAAAATTATCTTGTCAAATACCTTCATCCGACATAGTTCTACTAAAGTAAAACTTGCGTCACAAATTACTCGATATCTTCTTCCATTAGCGTTTCTAGGATAGTTGTAGATATGTGTAATGATTATCTCTTACAAAACTTATTTTGTCAAATACCTATATTTGAGGTTGTGATGGTGGTGTAAAACTCACGTCACAAGTTACACGGTATCTTCTCCAGTAGCGCTTCTACAACTGTTGTAAATATGAATATGATTATCTCTTATTAAAATTATCTAATATAATTTTTTATCTTATATTGCAAGAGCTTAAGTGAGAAATTATTCACCATTTTCATTTTATTACATATTATCAAATTGAAATAAATCATTGGATCTTACCGAATTTCATTAAATTGTTGGTTTCCTCATCTGTAGTTGGAACTTTAGATTTTAGTTCTGATTGCGTGGAAACGAGACATGTTTTACTAGGTCTTATGTTCATCGATGGTACTACTTGCAGTTCTTCATTTAATTACCCATTTTCTTTAGTAGATCTTGGCTTGATAACTTTAGGCTGTTCCTTTTTATCAGAAATAACTTTTTCAAAAAACTTGATTAGTACGCCTACGCGACCCGGTGTGGGTGCTTCAGTTGTTGTCTGAATCAACGATAAATCTGCCACATGATTTAACGCTATTGGTATCGTCGGAATCGCTTTAGAATTTGCAGAGCTTGCACTCCCAGCAACAGCAACGCTTGGACCAGCCGTATTTTGAAATTTTTGTATACTTTGCAATGTTTTCATTTTCAGTTTTTTTATAGAACACTACAACTTTAATTTTGGATTCCAAAATATAGCTCTTGCTTTCAAATAAAAATTATTTTCTTGAAGTAATGGTGTGTGATATTTAAAATCAAAATTTTTAAAATTTCAATGCCATCTTTGTTAATATTTTTCTTGTCAACATGTTCATATAAACATCTTACAAAAATAAATCTCGTATGTTTAAAAAAGATACGTTTGGATTCCACTCTTCAATTTCTACAATAGTTAAATAATATATAAGGTGGTAAAATAACTTTACCCAAAAAAAACCTTACTAATTAATTTTTATATTTACGGACCTTTATATAAACATATCTTTCTTCAACCTATTAGGTTAGGTTAGGTTGTACCGGCGATTCCAGGGTAAGATGAAAAGTCTCATCTATATATATAGTAAGTTTTCTATATAAAGATTCAGGACAAAGAGTTAGTTGGTAGTCGCCAGCTACCAACTCCGCATTTAAGGGATGGGATGCATATTTCTACCAGTAGTCGACATATACTAAATTTTGCCCTCATTCCTCGCTAAGCCCATTTTCGCAGATTTCTTTTTGATAGCAACAGAAGTAGCTGTAACATTGTCCTTAGTACGCTCAAAGACGACGATGTCATGGGCGTAGAGTAAGGTGCTCCTTGCAGATATTATTTATACCTATTTTATAAAAACATATTAACGAAGTGCGTAAGTCAATAATATTATCAATAAATAATAACTTACGATTTTATATGAATATAACCGCATATATTATAAATCGAATATTTTATTCAATTCTTTCAGTTGTAATCATTATATAAATTATAAAAATAATAATGATAATAAAAATAAATAATAATAAAAATGAATAATAATAAAAATGAATAATAACAAAAAGGAATATTAATAAAAATTAATAATAAAGAAAATAAAATAAAATAAAAATGTATAATAAAAAAAATTAATAATAATAAAAATAATAATAATAAAAAAATTATTATATAAGAAATTAATAATAATCTACATATTAATAATAATAATAATACAAATTAAAAATAAAAGAAATGATAATAACAAAAATGAGTAATAATAAAAATGAATAATAAAAATAATAATAATATTAAAAATCTATAATAAAAGAATTTAATAATAATAAAAATGGTAATAATAAAAATTATTTATAATAAAAATTATTAATAATATATATTAATAGGTGTGGTAGAAAGTGACTCCTGTCGACTCTGTCATGAGGAAAAGGAAACATCAGAACATGTTCTATGCAACTGCCCAGCGGTGGCAAGACGTAGACTCGATTACCTTGGAAGTGGGATATTAGTCCCAAGTCAAATAGGTAAAACTAAGCCCACAACAATTACAAGATTTATAAATAGTCCGAAATTGTCCTAGTCGGGGTGCTCTAATAGCCTATTACTTAAATAAATAAATAATATTAATAATAATAATACAAATTAAAAATAAATGAAATTGATGATAATCAAAATGAGTAATACTAAAAATGAATAATAGAAAACATGAGTAGTAAAAAATTAATAATAATAAAAATAATAATAATAATATAAATATAAATAATATTAATACATAAACAATAATAAAAATAATAATAAAAATAATAATAATTAAAATCTATTATAAAAGAAATTAATTATAATAAAAATGAATAAAAATAAAAATTAACAATAATATAAATAAGTAATAGTAAAAATTAATAATTATAAAAATTAAGAAAAATCAAAATTTAATCACTATAATCAAGATAATTTTAATTATTTTTATAACTTAATAGTCACAGTAAAAAGTAAAAAAATTTTCTAAATAAAAGTTCTTCTCTCAATAATCTCTCACATATTTTTCTCTCTTAAAATTTATTCTAAGCTTACATTTTCGTGAGAGCAATTGTGCTTCTAACTGCGTTCCAAACTGGTTTCCATAATGTGCGGTTTTAAGCTCGGCTTGATTTTTGTGTTGGCAACAAACAAGCAGAAATTGAGGTTTACAATATTTTTGATTATAATTTTTCTTTTATTTTTGTCTGAAGTTTTTGTTGTTACTTTTTTGTGTGCTTTTACTGGTTTCTTCCATATTGTATTTTTTTTTTATGTGTTGAATCAGTGCTCTGACTTTGTAACATACTTTTTTCGTACTTACTTTTGATTTTATTTACTCGCATTTTTTTGTGTTTATTTACATTTATTTTTCTGGTTTTTACACCTCTTGACTTAAACTAAATTATGTTCTTATTTTTAGCGCGTTTTATTTTTTTTTTTTCGTTCTTTTTTTTTTTGTCATACACGTTTTGTGTGTTTCTGTTTAAATTTGTTGGCATGAATTAAAAGCTTTTGTAGTGCTTTTATTCTTCTTTATTGGGATTTGGATTCAAAGCAATTCGTGCCTTTACTTATGATTGCTTTTAGAAGCTTAGCTTGATAAGTGCTACGTGGAGTCTAATCCATCGATACAAACGCGATCTCAATCGAGAGTGCTACAAGTGAAACTCAATCTCTATTATTTATTTTCCAAATATTATCGGGTAGTAACTATTGGATGTTAGTCGCCTAACATGTTAGATCGAATGCATCATAACTGGTGATGAGACATGGGTCTATGAATTTGACATGCCCGCTAAACGACAATCGACCGAATGGTGCTTCGAAGGTGAGCCGAAACCGAAAAGAGAACGCCAAAGTCGGTCCAAAATCAAGGTTATGCTGACTGTTTTCCTCGATATACGTGGTGTGGTGCACTATGAATTCCTTTCAGATGGTCAAATGGTCAATAAGGAGTATTATTTGGCCGTTATGCGTCGTTTGTGTGAGGCCTTTCGCAAAAAGAGGCCAGATTTATGGAAGGAAAACTCATGGATTTTACACCACGATAACGCACCGGCTCAGACAGTGTTAGTTGTGTCGCAGTTTTTGGCCAAAAATTCCACCAATATCATCAACCAAGTACCGTCGTAGATATGGCCCCGTGTGACTTTTTCATCTTTCCCCGACTCAAATTGCCATTGCGAGAACCATAGACGCGTTTTGAGACCATAGAGAATAAAAGAGAGAAAGGCCATACCTTCGGCGGCCTATAAAACTTGTATGGAAAATTGGATCAAGCGTTGGCATGCATGTATTGCCGCAGGAGGAGAATACTTTGAAGGCGATAATAAATTAAAAATTAAAATTTTGCTTTTTTTTTTAAATTCTCGTTCTTTTTTGATTAAATGGTATATATATTTACATAAAAATTTCGTAGCTTTATTTTTTAAAATTTTTTATCAAAATTATATTATATATGCCAAAAAATCTTCGACAAACATTTTGATAATATATAGAAGTACTAAGTTGACAACATATGGAACCAAATTCTTATTTAAACTCAAACATAATAACACCAATTAATTACTTACATATTTTAGTAATTAATATTAGCTAAAAATACTTAGTACTTCCTTTTTATAAAAATAGAAAAGTCTGGAAGTGTATTGAAATAGGGAATGGTTGAGAGTTGAAGCAAATTCTTGTTAAAAATGTGGAAAAACAAACTATCAGTGCTTTACATATGCTTCCAAGTTAATGGTTTACTAAATAAAAATATTTTAATTTGCCCTCTCCTTCCGCTTTGCTTGTCTTTGTTATATTATTTATGTCTTATGTTATAGTTTACCCATAATTTACAATGCTGGCATCTCTGGAAGCAATGACGCAAAAAATGTTAGCACAAATATACGTACAAATATTAGAACGCCAACATTTGGTAGAGCTGCTGCATTTGGTTCTGCATCGTCACCAGGAGTATCATCAGAAGAATCATGTTGTTGTTGCTCTTCATCGGTGTCTTCAGCATTAATAGCAGGTTCTTCTGTTGCATTACTCTCAACATCTTCACTACGATTTGCTAAACTTTCTTCGGCGGGATCAGTATTTGATGCACTCTCATTTTGTATCTCTTGAGGAGCTTGTGCTTGAGCCTGCTGTACTTCCTCGACACCTTGGCGTATTTGATCGTTATTGTTGCGATTTATATTATTATTATTGCGTTCTGGTCGAAAATGAAACACACCAATATGATTAAGATAAATTCCGCCAGCAATAAAAACTACAGCTAAACAACGCAATGGCGATGAGTTATAAAACAAAATGATCAGGAACAAAGCTAAGCGTGTTATTGAATAGAACCTATCCAGCCAGTCTCGATTTTCCTGTTCCTCTTGTGCAATGTTAGGAAAACGTGGTCTTTGTAGTACTGCCTCAGGCCGTTCCTGTGCTTG